CCAACAGGTGTGGAGCTCCGGGGACCTCATACCAGCAGGTGTGGAGCTTCGAGTACCTTATACCAGCAGGTGTGGAGCTCCGGGTACCTTATACCAGCAGGTGTAGAGCTCCAGGTACCTCATACCAGCAGATGTAGAGCTCCGGGGACCTCATACCAGCAGGTGTGGAGCTCCAGGGACCTCATACCAGCAGATGTAGAGCTCCAGGGACCTCATACCAGCAGGTGTGGAGCTCCAGGGACCTCATACCAGCAGGTGTGGAGCTCCAGGGACCTCATACCAGCAGGTGTGGAGCTCCAGGGACCTCATACCAGCAGGTGTGGAGCTCCAGGTGCCTCATACCAGCAGGTATGGAGCTCCGGGTGCCTTATACCAGCAGGTGTGGAGCTCCGGGTACCTCATACCAGCAGGTGTGGAGCTCCGGGTGCCTCATACCAGCAGGTATGGAGCTCCGGGGACCTTATATCAGCAGGTGTGGAGCTCCAGGGACCTTATACCAGCAGGTGTGGAGCTCCAGGGACCTTATACCAGCAGATGTAGAGCTCCAGGTAGAGCTTTACTTCCCACTCAATCTCCATCTCTATCTTACTCTTTTTCTTCAATTTCTGCTCCCCCCCCCATCCTTTCTTCTATCTCCTTACCAGTTCCTTTGGTCATTAAAGACAGGGAAGGAGCGGTCAGGATTGGGAGATTCGTCACCTGTAGCCACCTGTCACAGGAAGCGGTAGCCACCTGCCACAGGTAACGGTATAGCCACCTGCCACAGGTAACGTTAGCCACCTTCCACAGGTAACGGTATAGCCACCTGCCACAGGTAACGTTAGCCACCTGCCACAGGTAACGTTAGCCACCTGCCACAGGTAACGTTAGCCACCTGCCACAGGTAACGGTATAGCCACCTGTCACAGGTAACGTTAGCCACCTGCCACAGGTAACGTTAGCCACCTTCCACAGGTAACGGTATAGCCACCTGCCACAGGTAACGTTAGCCACCTGCCACAGGTAACGTTAGCCACCTGCCACAGGTAACGTTAGCCACCTGCCACAGGTAACGGTATAGCCACCTGTCACAGGTAACGTTAGCCACCTGCCACAGGTAACGTTAGCCACCTGCCACAGGTAATGTTAGCCACCTGCCACAGGTAACGTTAGCCACCTGCCACAGGTAACGTTAGCCACCTGCCACAGGTAACGTTAGCCACCTGCCACAGGTAACGTTAGCCACCTGCCACAGGTAGCCTAACCTGATCCAGGCAACAGTTACACTACTGATTTGAATATATATGACACAAATCAAAATAATTATTACGAGTACCTGTAGGTCTTTCTGCTTTCTGGCTGCTCTCAGACGTGGACGTTTCGAGCCATATATATAGTTTTGACAGAGATGGTTGGGGGGGGGAGGGGGAGGCGGTTCCCAGGTCATGTTAAATTTTTGGAGGGCTTTGTAATGTGATGATTTAGCTGCTGTGTCATGATGATCTATGAATGAGATACAAAATACATCATGAAACCCTGTATTTTGTGCCTCGAGCAGTTTGTGTGTGCGTGTGTGTATGATAGCTTGTTTGGAGAGTGTTATCTTGGAAGAAAGGCTCTTAAGAGCCTTGCAAGGTGATTGTTGGGCATCGTTGTTTACTTTGTCCTTTCTTCTTGGTGTCATCTCCCCCATGTTCTTTATCTTCCATGTTCTTTCTCTACCACAGGTAACCTGCCACAGGTAACCTGCCACAGGTAACCTACCACAGGAAACCTGCCACAGGTAACTTGCCACAGGTAACCTGCCACAGGTAACCTGCCACAGGTAACTTACCACAGGTAACCTGCCACAGGTAACCTGCCACAGGTAACCTGCCACAGGTAGCCTGCCACAGGTAACCTGCCACAGGTAACCTGCCACAGGTAACTTACCACAGGTAACCTGCCACAGGTAACTTGCCACAGGTAACTTGCCACAGGTAACCTGCCACAGGTAACCTGCCACAGGTAACCTGCCACAGGTAGCCTGCCACAGGTAACCTGCCACAGGTAACCTACCCCAGGTAACCTACCACAGGTAACCTGCCACAGGTAACCTACCACAGGTAACCTGCCACAGGTAAACTGCCACAGGTAACCTACCACAGGTAACCTGCCACAGGTAACCTGCCACAGGTAACCTACCACAGGTAACCTGCCACAGGTAACCTGCCACAGGTAACCTACCACAGGTAACCTACCACAGGTAACGGCAACCCAACCTGATCCTGGCAACCACTGTGTCGCACAGTCTGGTGGACCTTCTGTGCTACTCATATATATATATATAGGCTTCGGATATATACAAATCATAGCTTTTTACACTGGTGCTTTCAGGCCGTTGGGAGTCAGTAATTTCTTCCCTATTAGACCTGGGGGGGGGTTTGGAGCAATATATATATAGTCTTGACAACAGATGGGGAATGCCTAGGTCTAATTCATATTAGTCCTTTTGCACGCTAATTTGGAGGCAATGTCTGTG